AGTTTAACTCTTTCATTCATTCAGTCACTCATTCATCCATTCATTCAGCACATGTATATTTAACACAATGCCAAGGGATTTGTTTGGTCTGGGGATACAGTGGTCAATAAGTCACACCCAGACTTTGCCTCCATAGACCTTATATCCCAGGAGAGAAGACAGACTTGAATAAGTGTTTATCCCCAAAGAAGCCTTTAATAAAGTTCTCAGGCCCTAAACATGATGTTGACACAGAAAGAAGTACTATGTATCTGTGAACTGTGCTAAGCAAGTGCCTATATTATCTTATTAAATCCTTACAGCCGTGAGAGAAAGTGATTATTATTGGTTCCAATTTATGGACAAGGAATCTGAGATCCAGAGAAATTGAGTAACTTGCCCAATATCCTACAACTACAAAATGGAGGATCCAGAATATGAACCCAGGACTGATGGCAAAGCCTATTCTACAAAAGGACATGAAAGCCCAAACTCTAAAGTATAAACATAGAGACAGCACCAGAAAGTTATGGGAATTTAGCCCAACAGCTTAACTCCTGATCAGGGTGGGAAGTAAATTTTAAAATACCCTAAGTCTAAAGGTGCAAAATTAATTACCAGAGACCAAGTCCATCCAGGACGTAGATGCTGTCATCATATTTTTTAAAATTGCAATGTTCTCAGTGATCCTGAATGTCAGGATCCGTGAGAAGAGTTTGTTCAAGAGCTGTTCAAACATAGGAACAGTACACACTGGATAGAGTTGGACTTCAGCAGGTAAATCCACTTACTTGAAAAGTTCTTAATTAAATATTATTACACATTTTAAGCATCAGTAAAAAATTGGTATGTAGCCTGTTGAATTTTATATTAAGAAAAGATGCATAACTTGATATAATATTAGAACAAATGGAAAAATAAATTGAGTAGGCCTTGATTTCTCTTGTTAAACTCTTGTGGGAGTCAAAAAGCTTTTACACATAAGTAATTGGAAATATTTGTCAATCATGTATTTGTAAACTAGGTATTGTTACGCCTTGGGAAAACTCTGAATGTAAATTGTCCAAATGTGTTTAAGGATCTTTTGCATATTGTTACTGACTGGACTGAGTTCTGTTTTTTGCAACTTATGACAAGTTTACATATTTTGTATGACTGTTAATATTGAATTTTGAACCAGGGGAAGGTTTACTCTTTATTTCAGGAATTTTTGTGTATTTTGTGGCCCTTTCTAAAGAATAGCATGTGTGTAATTAAAACACAGAAAAATAAGCATCTCTCTTTGGTTAAAAAATAAATAAAAAGGCTTGGTTAGTATCTTGGGACTCTTTTCTTTACCAAATAGCTTTACCATTCACCCAGACGAAAGCACAGCCCAACAGTATAGATGCTGTGGCTGCATGAGACATAGATTCCATGTAAAGACTTTATGAATAACTTTTCTCTTTACTGTTAGAGTTAACGTGGCCATTATGTTGGTAACAGCATGTAGCTGAAGCTTGATTGTTGAAGAAGAAAGAGATTTAGAAAACAGGAAGGTAACACTTTTGTTTCTAAGAAAAAATTAAATATTTATCGCAATCATCAGGGCAACTCTAAGAAGCTCTTGGTCAGGCTAGAGAAGAAAGATACGGGGATTTGGACAGCAGCGATGACATCTTATTCAATGGGTAATTTGTCTTATAGAAGGCTTACATTGCAGATAATCGATAAATATTGCTAATAATAGTATACATAAAAAATACAGCCATCTTCTCTGGAAAATCGTGGAACACTGGGCCCTGATTTGCATTTTCATGTTAAGCTATAGATTTCCAATTTGAGGTAAATGTTTTAGTTCAGAAAGTTTATTAGCATGGTAATTAACCAACAATCGAGTTGACTAAATTTATAGTGCTGAGGAAGGTGCAGAATGAGATCTTGTGGATTTTGTTCAGTTCGAGCCTAGAGCATGTCTGTGTGACTGTGAACTGGATTGAATGGGTATCTGCTTTCACGTCTTTTCTCTTCAGAGGGGCAAAAAATGTGGCTAGCTAGTTTGACTGTATTTATACTTTATTATTAACATGATTTTCCCCCAGTTATATTATTATCAAAGAAGACCTTGTGCTTGTGAACATATTTTCAGTGAATGATTCTATGAGAAAAGATGCTATTTTTCCTAAACTGGTTTTTATTTTATTTTATTTTTTAAATCAATTGTCAGAGTGACTGTTTACTGCTTCTTTTTCTTCTCTGGCATAATTAGCATAAAGAAGAAGTTTTCTAAGAGACTTTTCCCCAGTCCTTATTATATGCTTTGTGGCTAGGATATATTTTTGGTTGCTGCTAATGTGATTTAAGGTTTCCACCTTTTTTTCAGTATCTCAGATCCATTTAGAGCTAGGCCAACCCAAGCTCCTCATAGTGGCTGGAAGGAATATTTGGTCTTCTAATCCCTTTTATTGTTATTACCATGGAAATATATTCACCTCTTCCATTCATTTTAGATCTGCTCTAATACCTTTCTCATCTCCCAACCTCTCTCTTGAAACCATTTGAAAAATTTTTATGCATCTCTCCAACAGGTGGTTATTAAGATCATATAATGTAGGCAGTATGCTAGGTTATGGGAATACAGAGGTGAATCCGGGGTTGCCTTCAAAGGAAGCCATTCACCTCTTTTGGGTAGGAGCAGAAAAGAAATTGAGGTGCTTGTGTCTTAAGTTAACAGGACTAAGAAAGAAAAAGCCGAGCATTTATGGTGAGAAAAATGGAGTTTGACTTTTTTCCTGCCATTTTGTTTTGACCGGGTCTTGTGTTTAGTATTCAAGTCTGTGGGACCACACTCATCTCTTTGATTTCCTTCAAGAAAGGCTGGATTGGGGCTTGGCCTCCAGTAACTGAGGCAGAACCTCCTGGCCTTTCTGCCTGTTCCTGTGTAGAATCACACCCTTGGTACTGGGCCAGAAGTGGATGAGCCTCGGGGCCAGGGAGGAGCGACCCAACATGTTCAAGGCTGCATTTGCCTCTATGTCAGTCTTTGCTTGCGACAGTAAAAATGAGCCTGTTTTTTATATTGTTACTGGCAGAGTTGTGTATCATGTTGTTTTTGCCCAGAGCCCTTTCTTTTTTTTTTTTTTTTAATGGACAAGTTTGAAGCCTGAGAAATTGAATCTTAGATCAAAAAACTAGAATAAGCTTTAAGGGCTGCTGTCGACCCCACTATTTTATGTAGGTTTTGCTGGTGAGACCCAAGTCAAGGTTCTACAGAATTGAGGAGTAAAAATCACTTGCCAAGAAAAAAAGCTATTGAATTCTTAGAATTTAGGACAAGTCTCCTCTTCCACAATAGAGCCAGTTTAAATTTATGTAAACAATAGAGCCAGTTTAAATTTACTTTTTAAAGTCAGTGATAAGAGCTAACCAGAATCCAGCCATTTCCCTTAGTGTAAAAAGGTGACTTCGTACAGGCTATTTAGCCTCATCCAGACCCTGCTGCCAGCATTCTCTCATTTAGCAGTGATGTCTGGGAAGCTGCCAGTGAATGCCCAAGTGGGGTCCTTTAGGCGGTACTTTTGTTAGAGTGAGGGGAGGAAGATGCAGGTTGGAAAGGCAGTCCAGAGACTGTGACTCCTTCATTCCTCTCAGGGTTTTATTTGTTTGTTTCTGCTTTTTAATGCAAGGGCTATTAATGTTAGTAATCTGCTTGGCCAGGCGTGATCAGGCCTTGTGAAAACTGGCTGCTGTCACCTATGTCTAAGAGATTTAAAGGGAAAACATATCATCCTAGGAAGGAAGGGAACCCGAATAAGGAGCCACTTTAAGTTCAGAAGGCAGCTTGGTGAGTAGATGGAATCAATGTAATACAGAGATTTTCTAGTCTCCGGGCTGGCCTCCCTTCCCTTCAAACAATGCTAAAGACATACTTCTGTTTTTATTTTCCAAATGCCACTTTTCATTTTCCAACCTGCCCTTTTAGCTTCTAATAAAAGAAATGGATTTTTATTGTTATTAAGAGAGAATGTGATAGATACAAATCTCACCCCTGATTCTGGTTTGAATCTTGACTGGATCCACATACAACCTATTTTTTTAATTCATCCTTTCCTTATTCCCATCCTTTCTCCCTCCTTCTCTCCCTCTTTTCTGTCTTTCATGTCTTCGTACTCATTACTTCTCTTTAACTTTTAAAATTTTAACCCCAAACATTTGCAGTGTAAATGTATTTTAATTTAATAGTTATATTTTGTGACTGGGTCCGTAAAAGATTATTTCTGGTTTCCTTTTCTATTTAGAGAACCTCTACCCTGAATGTGTATTTTCTTACTGAAATAATGGAACGAATTGATTCGTTGATTTGGAATGAGCATGCCCCTGGTTTGGAATGGGCTTGGAATTTAAAAAGAACTAGAAACATCTTCTGGCTAGTTTGGGGCAAATTATATGATGCCTTTGAGTATATGGTGCTTTTGAGAGTCCCGGGAACTCTGAATCTAATCAGATAAGAAGCATAGAACAGCTGAAAGAAATCACATGCATTCTTAGGCATATGTGGCAAACAAGGCCTATGTTTCTCTGGGGTGGAATAGAGTGGGACCCCAATATTATTACTATGTACATAGAAAAGCTGGCTTAATCTTAGCTGCAAAACTGAAAGTTACATTAAGTTAAAAGAAATGGAGTAAGAAAAAAACTTTTAGGACAGTCCCTGCTTTATCTTTTCAGAAATGATTTGTTACAAACTAGAAGTAGAGATAAATGATTTTTTTCTTTTTTAACTTTAAGGAGAAAAAAAACACACATACACACACCTCCATGGCTCTTGAAGCCTTCGTTCTCACTTGGACAGTGCAGAAAGCTATGTCTCACAATATTTGATAGATTTCCATCTTTGTACCCCCTGAGCTTCTTTTCCTAGCACAATGTTGTCTATGTAACACTGTGCTGTGGGGAAGAGAAGGAGGATGTGCTATTAGCACTTAGGGTTTCTAAAGAGAGTTTGAAGTGAGTCAAAAAAATATTTGTTTCTTATTTTACAGGGATTGTTGACTGTGAAGCACCTAACAACAAATTAGATAAATTCACAGGAGTCCTCTCTTGGAAAGACGGCAAGTACTCTCTCAACAACGAGAAGATAATCCTGAGAGGCTGCGTCCTGAGAAACACCAGCTGGTGTTTTGGAATGGTTATTTTTGCAGGTACAGCTAATTGCCCAGAGTTGGTTATACCGAGACAGAGCCCCCACAGTGCTGTATTAAAAATTCTGTTTTCTTTGCTTGGCTTCCTCCCCTACAATGTTGTATTAAAAATCCTGTTTCCTTTGCTGGGCTTCCTCTCCTCCGCCCCCGAGCTTTGCATTTGAATCGTGCTTTTGCTTTAAGTAAACCCCACTGCGCCTGCGTAGTTTGATTAAGACTGTTGCTGTAGTAATTTGTATGAACTCCCTACTTGCAAACTCCTTGAAAAGTAACTTGCCTGCCTGCCTTGGGGAGCAGTCTTGGCAGCAGCAGCTCAGACTCCTTTTCCTTGTACAATGAAATAAAGGTGCCTTTCCTGTTCTCCAGTAGCAGTCATGCCGAGCAAGAACCTGGGGTTTCCACCCAGTAACAATACATGAACCCTTCCTGATACCCATCAGCACAGCCTACAGTTCTCCCCGTTTGGAGGAGCACAGTGCTTTTATTCCGCAGACAGTGCTGCTCTGGAGTTGACTTCGGCGTGTAACGGACCAGGGAAAGACACCACTTTTCTGAAAATAGTCTGGGTGGCCCCACTGTCTGAGGAACCACTGACATTGTGCGCTTATGCTTAAGGATGTTTGGGCCTTAATTAAGCAGTGGGTGTTAGAGACCTACAGCTTGGTTTCTCTTATGTTAATTCCATCCTAATTATCCCTGTCACTTTATCAATCAACCTGCCTTTAAAGTAGCAGAAGAGCATGAAAGGAAGACCCTCTTTCAGCTCTTAATTTTGTAGTTTGCAAAACGACAAGCAGCCCTTTTGGAAAAGTCTTCTGGGAGATCCTGCAATCATTTCTGTTTATATCCTGCAGCTTCTTCTACTGTTTGTAAACAGGACAGCGGGCCCTGGAGAGACTGTGCATGGTGGAGGTGGGGAGAAGGGAAGGGAGGCACCTCTTACTCTGTGTGCCTGCCATGTTTCTTATCTCTAATTTACCTCTATGGGCCCAAGGTGGCACTCTCCTGCTAAGGAAGCTTACAGTAGCACCATTTCATAAAGCCGTTCAAATTGTACTCATGGCTTCAATTGCCAGTCCTTGATTTTAAAAATACTGTTTATTGTGACACCAAATTAAGATGTGTTTTGGGCCTGCTGACTATATGTGCAGTCAAAATTGGAATGTTTTTCTTTACTGACTTTCCTCAACAACAACAAAATGTTCATTAAAAACTCAAAAGTGTTCCAAACCTAGAAAAAGCCTCCCAATTCCTCCTAAATACTCCCAGCTGTGAGTGTTAGCAAGGCTTTTGCTGTTTGGGGCATTGCCATTGCAAGGACTTGAGAAAGCCCTAGAAATGAGGCAGAGTATGAACTTTTATCTGGAGGTGAATCTCGATTCGCAATTCTCTCATCAGATGCTTTTATTCTTTAGTCAGAGAAGTAAGCCTATGATCATATATTTCCTTCTTTGCACCTTTCTTGTAGAGGGAACAAGAGAGATAGGCTTATACAGAAGTCTCTCTTTACCTTCCCACTTAATGCCAGGGAGAGTTCTTAAAGGTACGCTGATGGGAAGTACTCTTTTGGTTTGCTCCCTGTCATCACAGGAGTGGGGGCTCCTCATCCTAGGAACGGACTGTAGCCCCCAATTTTTTTTTTTTTATTTATTGTGCTTTAGATGAAGGTTTATAGAACAAATCAGTTTCCCATTAAACAGTTAATACACGTATGTTTGTGACATTGATTACCAACACCACGTACCGCAACGTCAACACTCTCCCGTTCTTGACCTTGGGTTCCCCATTTCCATTTGTCCAGCTTTCCTGTCCCTTCCTGCCTTCTCGTCGTTGTCCCTGGGCTGGTATGCCCATTTAGTCTCATATACATGGTTGAGCTGCACGTATTATCATTTGTTTTATGGGCCTGTCTAATCTTTGGCTAAAAGGTGAACCTCAGAAGTGACTTCAGTACTGAGTTAAAATGGTGTCGGGGGCCATACTCTCAGGGTTTCTCCAGTCTCTGTCAGACCAGTAAGTCTGGTCTTTTTTGTAAGTTTTAATTTTCTCCAGCTCTGTCTGGGACCCTCTATTTTGATCACTGTCAGAGCAGTCGGGGTGGTAGCCGGGCACCATCTAGTTGTGTTGGAATCAGTCTCGTGGAGTCGTGGTCCATTAGTCCTTTGGACTAATCTTTTCCTTGTGTCTTTGGTTTTCTTCATTCTTCCTTGCTCCAGACAGTGTGGGACCAGTGGAGTATCTTAGATGGCTGATCACAAGCTTTTAAGACCCCATATACTACTCACCAAATTAGGATGAAGAACATTATCTTTATAAACTATGTTATGCCAATTGAGCTAGATATCCCCTGAGACCATGGTCCCCAGCCCTCAGCCCAGTAACTTGGTCCCTAGGGAGTTTGGATGTGTCTCTGAAGCTTCAGTGACCTTGCCTTGGTCAAGTTGTGCCGAGTTGACCAAGTTGTGTACTGTCTTACCCTTCACCAAAGTCGCCACTTATCTACTGTCTATTTAGTGTTTTTCCCACCCCACCACTCCCCTCCCTTGTAACCAACAAAGATTGTTTATTTCTGTGTAGAAAACTTTTCAAGAGTTTTTATAATAGTGGCCTCATACACTATTTGTCCTTTTGTGATTGACTTATTTCACTCAGCATAATGCCCTCCAGATTTATCCGTGTTGTGAGATGTTTCACAGATTCATCATTGTTCTTTTATCATTGCATAGTATTCCAGTATTCCATTGTGTGTATGTACCATAGTTGGTTTTTTTATTCATCTGTTGAGGGACACTTAGGTTGTTTCCATCTTTTTGCTATTGTGAATAATGCTACAATGAACATGGATGTGCAAATGTCTATTTGTGTGATGGCTCTTATTTCTCTAGGGTATATTCCAAGGAGTGGAATTACTAGATCATACGGTATTTCTATTTCTAGCTTTTTAAGGAATCACCATATCATTTTCCAAAATGGTTATACCATTTTGCATTCCCGCCAGCAGTGCATAAGAGTTCCAATCTCCCCCCAACCTCTCCAACATTTGTTATTTTCTGTTTTTTTGATTTGTGCAGTAATGTCAATGTGAAATGGTATCTCCTTGTTTTCGTTTGCATTTCTCTAATGGCTGGTGATTGTGAGCATTTCCTCATGTGTCTGTTAGCCGCCTGACTGTCATTTTTGGTGAAGTGTCTGTTCATATCTTGTGCCCATCTTTTAATTGAATTATTTGTCTTTTTGTTGTGGAGGTGTTAGATTTTCCTATAGGTTTCAGAGATTAGAACTTTGTCAGATATGTCATAGCCAAATTTTTTTTCCCCGTCTGCAGGTTCTCTTTTTACTCTTGATGCACTCTTTTGATGAGCATAAGTGTTTAATTTTTAGAAGATCCCAGTTATCTAGTTTATCTTCTGCTGTTTGTGTATTGATACTTATGATTTGTATGCTATCTATGCCGTGTATTAGGGCCTCTAGCGTTGATCCTATTTTTTCTCCTATGATCTTTATAGTTTTTAATTTTATACTTAGGTCTTTGATCCATTTTGAATTAGTTTTTGTGTATGGTTTGAGGTACAGGTCTTGTTTCATTTTTCTGCAGATGAACATCAGTTTTGCCAGCACCATTTGTTAAAAAGACTCTCTTTTTCCCATTTGATGGACTTTAGACCTTTGTTGAAGATCAGGTGACCATAGGTGGATGGATTTATATCTGGGTTCTCGATTCTTTTCCATTAGTCAATGTGTCTGTCGTTGTACCAGTACAAGGCTGTTTTGACTACCATAGCTGTATAGTAGGTTCTGAGGTCAGGTAGTGTGAGTCCTCCTACCTTCTTCTTCTTCTTCAATAATGCTTTATTTATCCAGGGCCTCTTCCCTTTCTGTATAAAGCTGTTGATTTGTTTCTCCATTTCGTTAAAGACTGCTGTTGGTATTTGGATTGGGATTGCATTATATCTGTAGATTGCTTTGGGTAGAATTGACATTTTCACAATATTGAGTCTTCCTATCCATGAGAATGATACGTTTTTCCACTTATGTAGGTCTCTTCTGGTTTCTTGCAGTAGTGTTTTGTAGTTTTCTTTGTATAGAACTTTATGTCCCTGGTTAGATTTATTCCTAAGTGTTTTATTTTTTTAGGGACTATTATAAATGGTATTGCTTTCCTGATTTCCTTTTCGTCATTCTCTTTATTGGTGTATAGAGTCCAGCTGATTTTTGTATGTTTATCTTGTATCCTGCTACTCTGCTGAATCTTTCTATTAGTTCCAGTAGTTTTCCTGTGGAGTATTTTGAGTTCTCTATGTATAGTATCATACTGTCTGCAAGTAGGGATAATTTTACTTCTTCCTTACCAATTTGGATGCCCTTTATTTCTTTTTCTTGCCTTATTTCTCTAGCTAGGACTTCCAGCCCAATGTTAAATAGGAGGGTGATAAAGGGCATCCTTGTCTTGTTCCGGTTCTCAGGGGAAATGTTTTCAGCCTCTCTCCATTGAGAATGATGTTGGCAGTTGGTTTAGTGTTTAAAAAAAAACAAAAAAAAACCCACATCCATTGCTGTTGAGTCAATTCCAACTCATAGCGACCTTAAAGGACAGAGCAGAACTGCTTCATAGTGTTTCCAAGGAGAAGCTGGTGGATTTGAACTGTCGACCTTTGGTTAGCAGCCGTAGCTCTTAAACACTGCACCACCAGGGCTCCAGAGTTTTGTATAGATTCCATTTATTATGTTGAGGAATTTCCCTTCTATTCCTATTTTATTGAGAGTTTTTATCAGGACTGGGTGTTGGACTTTATTGCACGCCTTTTCTGTGTAATTTAGATGATCACATGATTCGTTTCTTTTGTTTTATTCATGTGGTGGATTACATTGATTAATTTTCTAATGTTGAAACATCCTTGCATACCTGGTATGAATCCCACTTGGTCGTGGTATATTATTTTTTGTATATGGTACTGAATTCTATTGGCTAGAATATTGTTGAGAATTTTTGCATCTATATT